ATATTGCAATAAAAATTACAACAAAATTTTGTGAGCCTTGCGAATCTTGTTTCCTTCTCACTCGGTTGCGTACGACTCGTAGCGTTCGTGGAAATCTTACAGTCGGTCGACCTGTTAAAAATCTAAAAGCATCTTCTTGGAGTCCCTCGGCGAAAGATAATTCCAAACGAAAATGCGCGTTTCTCTTTGCGTTTTGCGAAGTTATCGCAAAACGGGGAATTTCCTCGTTATTAGGAGAATTCTTTAGAAAGACGTTAGCGGGTAATTCGAATTTCTTTGAGAGGATAAAGTCTTGGAGATTTTACTCGTTGGATTTTTCTCGTTCTCGCGTATCGCCCCATTTCCAGTGCTTTTCTGATCCTTTAACTGCGTTTTTAATTTTTTTTATTTGTCACCCCCACCCCTTCTTTTCTGTAAATGTTACGAATAAAACTGATGTGAAGAAACGCTTTTCTTTACACGGAAGAAATATTGCAGTAAAAATTATATTGAAATTATTTTTCTTCTTCTAATGCTTTTTTTGTAAAATTGGACTATATTGAAATTGTAATATAAATTACTATGGAAATAGTGAATATATTTAACGATCTACATGAGATATCTCACACAACATAATGTCCAAAATCGAGATGTAACACTGAGAGAAATGGCTTTGTGAATGACTCTATACTCGTCTTATGAAAGTAATATGGTGAATTTATATGCGATATCTGGTTCACATACCCAATATTCTGATTACGATACCTCAACGCATCTGATAGTCGATACCGAGACATTTAGTTGTAGATATCTAGACAGTTTGGTAATTCTCTCTGGACGTGTGGTACTATAGACGCGATAGTTAATTGTTATCCGCTGCGACGTTTCCTTTTTCATTTATACTAATTTGTAAAGACGTCGATGCTATAAAAGAATGGACGCTGAAACTGTCAGATATTTGGAAGAATGGAATTTCTTAAAATATGTCGACAAATTTAGAAGTAAGTATATAAAGATTATATGCAGTAAGTATATGAAAATTATATATATAACTGTATATATATAACATTCACCAAATGAATTATATGCTGTATCAAATGGTTTGATAAACATATTTAAGCATCACTGTAATGCTACTTAGATAATGCGCCCACCAGATAGTTTGGTATCATTGACTAAATATCTTGTTACATGATTATGATCTTGTTACATCATACCGTTTGGTAAAATAGAATTCTGGTTAGTATTATCAGACATTTCCCTCAGTGAAGACAACTTGAAATCAAAACGTTTTTAAGACGTCTTGAAGTCTGTAAAACTTTGGAACATAAAATGTTTTTAAGGCGTTTTGAAGAGGTTTTCAAAACGTTTTATATCTCGATTTTTGACGCCGTATGACATACGATATAAAAAACATCCAAGTAATTAAGACAAATTTAAAAGACACTACAATAATTATATGTAGTAAAAAATTTTCGTAGTAAAAAGTCAAGTGTCCATAACTATTCTTAAACAAACATATAATAAATCATATAATTATAATTATATTATATATTATATATTATATTTTATATAATTTTATATAATAATTATATATTATATAATTATATTATATATTATATTATATAATTATAATTCTGTAAGATCACAAAATTTGGTTGTAATCAAATTTACTACAATATTTTCTCTATGTACATCGAATGTACGATATAAAAATATTTAAACAATTACAGTCATTTTCTAGTAAAAAGCCAAAAGTACGTAACACTTTTAAATAAATATATAGTAATTGCGATCATAATTCTAAGCCAAAGTTAAAAAAATTTTGTTGTGACTTTTACTATAATATTCTTCCCATGTGTATTTTATCCTTCCGAAGAAATTTCCGAATTAGAGCGCTAATATTGTCCCTTTGATTTCTGGCAATTCATCATATGTTAAACAACTCTCCCAACTCATGTCAGAATGTCAGAATATTAGAAAATACGCGAGTAATTGATACGGAGAAAAAAACTTGTAAGTTGCTTTAATAAATAAATTACACCGAAGCAAAATTTTCGTAAACACCCGAAAAAATATAATCTCATCCTTAGTAGGAATCTTTTATATATATAACTTCAAGAGAATTTTTCTAAAATCAAGAGGAAAATTTACTAAGCACAATATTATTCCTTTATACCAGAAAAGAAATATTCTTTCGGCAAAGTTTAGCTTAGAATATAGGATTACAAGAAGCAGCATTTGTAAATAAAATTCTTATTTTAGATATTTTCCTCTTGATTTTAGAAGAAACTTCTTCTTCTTCTTTTGAAACTACATATAAGAAATTCTTCTAAAACTAAAAATATAAATAATATTATAAGCATAATATTATGTATATTTTGCAACTAAAGTTCTTTCTTCTTTTAAAAAGATATTCTTTAATATAATATTGTTCCTATATTCAATCTCCAATGAATTTCTACGATGTGACAACGAATTACTTACATTGTCTGGCTTTAATTTATCGGCTTTAATTTATTGGCTTTAATTATTTCTTCTTGATCTAAGAGTTTTTCCTAAATTATCGGTTTTTTATTGTTAGGATATTTTTGCTCTTGGTTTTAGAAGAACGCTCTTCTAAGACCATATATAAATAAATATATAAGAAGAATTCATACACATACTCTCACACACGAGAAGAAAAATATCATTAATGATGAGATCGTATCTTTTTTAGTGAAATATTTACGTCTTCGAATATCCACGTATTCTGCTTGCGCGTTATTTCGTCACAAAGTTAATTTACGGATTCTTGCGGGCTCCTGAAAGTGGAATGTCACGAAACTGTTAACTAATTGCAGTCACGTAGTGTATTCTTGCTGGACCGAGTGCGCGGCATGCGAAATATTCGTAAAATTATCCGAGGTAAACGAAAAATAAAATAACACGCCAACCACACGAACATATTTCGGCGAATCGCACTCCAAGCGGGAAAACCACATCTCTGATGGAATTTAATCAACGATAAAAAAACGAAAAAGACGCACGTAAATTGCCGCGGCGCAATCACTTTTTGAGCCGATAACGACGACGCTAAGAGCAAGAAATGTACCCTTGAGCGAAGCAGGAAGAGAGAGAGAACAATACGGGGATATCGTTGCAGAGTGAAACAATTAACGCTTAATGTTCGCGATACACACGGCGAACGTCGCTCCTTTATGTCCTCGTTGATGCGCCCCGCTGTAGACGGCATAATCGCTGAATCGCGCAGAAATAACGAGCGTTTCGCAGACGACGAAAGTGCAGACGTAGCTCGACTACGTAGTTTTGCTCGTCACGCACACGATGATTTGCTGGCTGACGAGCGGGCGGGGAGGGGGGAGGGGGAGAGGATATTTCGCAGGAGGGGGTGGAAAAAAAGTGTGACGGATTGAAGCGATAGAAGAACGGCCATGTTGTGCATGCATCGCGAAGGGCATTTGACGTTTAGCCGATAATATTGATAGGTCGTATTAAACAGTTTGAGGTGCCTGTTTCCTCAGTGCTCACAAACAGTTTAGCGCGTTCGCGAAGGCAATCCGTGCGTCACGTCGTCGGGATGTGTAACGAGGAAACACACGGCGGCGTGCCGCACCGATTTTGACGGGCATTGGATGTATCGTAAAGCGGCTAAAAATAAAAGACGCCTTTTCGTATGTGCCTGCCTCGCGCACGTTCAGGGAAACATCCCCTCGAAGGTAATTCGATGAAACTGATTGTGTGAGCGGGTATCTTTGAAACCGTAAAACAGGAAAGGGAGAAAAAATGTTCTAAATAAATATCCCATATATTTGATAACTTTTCAATTCTGCACACAGAAAGATATCACGGTGAAAAATAACGCGAAATTATATTTCACTTTGCAAAGCTTGTAAGTTTCTTTTTATTATATTTTTGCTGTGAAAAAGCTGAAATAACTGACGTATATTGTAGCATGAATTACAACAGAAATAATAAATGGCACGATCTGCCAAAATATACAATATAAAAAACATTTAAATAATCACAATAACGTTTTAGTGAGAAAAGTCAAACGTGCATAAGATTTTTCAACAAATTTAATAATTATATAATAATTTTGGTTATAATTTTTGTACGGTCCAAGATCACAAAGTTTTGTTGTAATTTTAACTGCGATAGCCTCTCCGCGTGCATTTTTAGAAAGTATGTCATGCAGGAGGTTGAGGATATGTTGAAAGCTGATATTTGCAAAAAAATCAAATGCATTGTTGTAAAGAGTATCTAATATCGCATGCGAGAAACTTTGATTCAAATATTTCTCGTTTATTTCAGTTTCACAGGTATTCGCTTACAATCAATTCTATCGAATTCAGCAGTTCCAACATCCGAGAGAACTCATGCAAAATAAAACAAATAAATAACACATGGAAAAATTAATTGAACGCGCGCGGAAACACATACGAGAAAATACGTGTCACTTATTTTTCGTTTACAATGTATCTAGAGTCCAGAAGGAATACACGCGACACGAAGAAAAGAAACGTGACCGGCGGCTAATTATTCCGCCTCGTTGAATTTCCAAGTTCGGTAGATTGAATTCGGAAGACTCTTCAAGGCGCGGCGGAAGAGCACCACTTCGCTTTAAAAGTCTGCCGGTTTAAGGATAACGAGTCTCGTAATCGTCGTACGATAAGGCGCGGCTCGGCACGCCAGGATATTTCGAAATTGAGGGCTTTTACGAAAATTTCCTGCCAGCGGAAGAGCCAGTGAGCTTTTCGCCCGCCATCGCCTCTGCGCTTTATCGCGGTAGCCGCCCGGATAATTCTCCGGGAAAGCTCGGGAACCGACACGTTTGTCTGGCGTGTCGTTTCGTGTCTCTTAAAAATAACAACGCAGACGGGATTACCCAAGAGATTAATCCATCGGCGATCGCTGTCTAAATATTGCCACAGTAAACAGAGAGGGAAGTTGTCCCGTAAACAGAGAGGGGAAAACTCGGTTTCCGGATGAAATTTGGAGCTGCGTTTTATTAGCCAATATCCTTTGAAATAATGTTTATTGTAAAAAAGTCATCCGCTAACATATTCACAAAATTATTTCCTATAAACTAGAGATTACACGAGACAGAGAAAGAGAGAGAGAGAGAGAGAGAGCGCGCAGAAATCATGTAAACAGATATTATATCGCGCGTCAGCATACGACGAAAAATAAGAGCCGGTCGGCTGATACGTTATTGATTAAGCAACCCCCCGCGGGAGAGGGTCCCGCGTTTACAAACGTTCGATGCAACGTCGAGAGCACGCATCGTTACGTTAACACAAAACATCGAAAATGCGCGTCGTTTAGTCGCCATGATCCGAGTTTCCGGGATCTCGAGTTTGCGAACGGGACAAACGCGCGCCACAGAGAGACCGGCTACCGGCTATATCATAACGCAAATTCGTTAGCGTTGACTGAAATAATAAACGCTCTTACGCCGAATCATTCGTTCCAGTTCGCGGATCGCTCTCCGCGACGAATAAAGGCTCTCCTTAATCATCCGTCATCATACGCCCAAAGCTTAACGCTGCTGCTCTCACTCATACATGGTGCTTTGACATTGTACCCTTCAGAACCCTCGGGCGTGTGCGGGCCGAGATAAAGGAAGGGGAAAAGAAAATGAGAGAACCAATAGTGTGAACACACGCCCGATATTCTCGCAAAATTTGTTAAATAATCGAGGCGTCAGTCTCAACGATAGCCAACGCCGTAGAACTAACATTGTTTTTTGGCAATCTCGCTATTCGAAATTGATGCATTAAATTGGTGCGGAAAATTTGTCATTTTTTAATTAAATTTTCGTAAGAAGTTTGAGTGCCAGAATGAAAACGAAAAGTTCTCGTTAGGTGTTTGAAAGTATATCGAGTCGCGCGCGCGATATTTGTTCTTTAAATAAATTATTTAATCATAAAAATTATTTATTTTTTCGTAAAAATTATTTATTTTTTGGTAAAATTTTTTTATTCGTAAAAATTATTAAAAATCAAATTATTTAGAGTCTATAAAAGCTGTGCATTGAGTACGCTTGTCGATGTACGCTTTCTTACATTGCACATAATAATTTTGTTTGATTTTTTGTAATCTTAAAACCAATTTTAGATTTTTTGGTCAAAATTATTACTCAACAAAAAGATCTTATTTTTAACAGAATCCTGTTACATGAACTCAGGAAGATTCTTCTAAAAGCAAAAGAAAAATATTCTAATTACAGTATTCTACAAGTTAGAAGGTTTTGTTTTTATATATTCTCTCTCTTATTCATCGAATTGACGAAAGAACATATCACGATAGATCGATTGTAATTTGTACACATGATGAAATTGATTCTTTTACCGTTTTATGTCCTTTTTACAATTTTCCACGTATCAAAACAACGATATAGTCTCTGAGTGTTTACGACGTGCAGCTGATCTCTAAGCTAAGATTACATGTGTTGTACGACGTGTTTTGTCGGATTTTTTGAACTGTAACGGTTGAGTACAATTGATCGATCGGATTAGAGATTGGACGGCGCTTCGTAAACACTTAATATAATATCAACCGTTATTAGCATCAATGTTCATTTTCATGTTCTATATAATGTATCATTTAAAAATTTATTTATGTAATCTTTTATTCATTAAAAAATTGTTTGCTCTGAATGATAAAATATTTTCGTTTAGTTTTAGAAGAATTCTCTTGAAATCATATATAAGAGGATTCCGCTAAGGATGAGATTATATTTTTTCGAGTGATTAATCCTTCGAGATTGGATCATTTCGCTTTTGATTTTATATATTGTAAATACGCGGCAAACCTTTCGCACCAATCTAATACGTACAACGATCTTCGTCAATCAAGTGATGTAACAAATGAACAAGTAAATAAATAAATGCCACGTTGTACTTTCGTGCAAAAAATAAATGCACACGCAAGAAATGCATGCCTCAGTACTTACCGGCCTATGAAAAAATACGTGTTATATTCTTAGAGCTCAAGTTCTTTTGATTGAAACAGTCTAAAAGTCGTCAAGAGTTTAACATACGAACGTTGCCATGACGTCGCGAAATTAATGTACATTCACGAGTAATCCGTACTGTGCGGGGCGTTTCGAACTTACAACCGAAGACTAAGCTCTGGCTGATCGAACTTGCAGAAGCAGACGAGGAAATTTCAATAAAACACAGGTCCGCAAACTAATCGGCTTTCCATTTCACGAGCCGTGTTCCGACTATGTTCTCGCTTCAAATAATATTGATCAGTAATAGTATTGATACAGTAATACAGTTATAATGTTGATCTCGTTATTACGTCACGATGGAAGACGGAAATTAAGAAAGGATGTGGAAGAAGAATTCCAAATAATTTCAATTTTAATTCAATGCCAATTTTTGCCGTGAGTGAGAGAGAATGTGTCGTATACAAGGTTTTCCGTCTCTATCACAACGTGAAATCTACAATCATTCTGCAAATTGACAATAAGAAAATGATAAAAAGAAAGAAAACAGTACATACTAGTAGCAGTCAAGATCGTGCGCGAATTTCGTTGTTTATTTCATGTCACTAAGCTAAAACCAATATCTGTTAGGTATTGTATAATTTAAAGCTCTTTCTATCTCACCGCGGCCATGTTAAATTTGTGACGTTAGAAGTAAAGAACGACATACTGACGAAAGTTGCCACTTCTAAATAAAGATAAGTATAGATGAAAAAACGTTTGAGATTGCTAGAATATATTTGTAAAATTGTCCAAAAAATATCTCTTTCCCCTGACGATTAATTAATAAATAGTCTACAATAAATGTTGAAATAAGGAATGATTAAATGAATATGTTTTATCTGCATACCTCAAATCACCATTTATTATACGACTATTTATTAATCCTATATATTAATAGTAATATTATGATATATAATTAATAGATTAAATATTAACGGTAGATACCAGTGTTATTAGTTCAGGCCTTTGTATTTTCACCTTATGTCGATCTGTTTTCGAATTACAAACGTCTAAAGTCTCGGTAACTCAATGAGAGAGTTCCAACTCCACATACATTTCCAACTCCATCGCGCTTCGCGTCCATAAAGTAATGTCGTAAAGTAAAAAAATAAATTTTAATTACGCAGGAGAGCGATATACTCTCTTACTCTCCCAATTCCCTTCTAAATCTTTCTAAATTCTCTTCTTTTTATAACGGTTCTTGGAAGATTTATCTATTGTTATATGCCAATATCCAGGTTTCTCAGATATATACTTTCACTGTAATGCATCACTTTCTTGCTGATTATCCGTAACGCATGAGCGGACAAAACATTATTTTGCGCAAGCTAAACTGTCAAACTGTCACTGTTTCCGAACATCGTTTCTCGAACACTCGACAGTCATGATAAATGTGTATGTGGAAAGGCTAGTCCAAAATATCTAGTAATTCCAGAGCTAGATTAAAAGTGTCCGGGCATTATAAGGAAATGATATATTTTACCGACGAAATATTGACTTTTTTCTGCAAAATTTAATTAAATGTTTAATTTAATAAATTGATGTTGAATTGAATTTAATGAATTGAAGTTTTAAATTAAAATTAAAAAGTTAAAGTTAAATTGAATTTAATAGAAATTGTAAAATTGTTAAATATATGACGGAATCGATAAAAAATTTGAAAATTAACTTCTCTAGCTGTCAGTTGGCGTAAATATTTACTTGATATAGAAGTTCTGCACGGTCTGTATGCATCACATGTGTATTTGCTACGTTAACGAAAATTACAAGTAACATGTCTACATTTTTACAATTGAATTGTGATAAGCTCAGAAGTATACGGAAAGTTTGCAGAAAACTTTCTACACAAGCGTAGTTATGTTTCCTGCTAACATGATAAAATAAAACAGCGTACAAGAGGTTTGTTCTTTTTAGCTGAGCTGCTTGAACTAGTGCAGACTGTGCAGTAAGTTAGAGTGAAACAAAATATACTTGTCTCACTCTAACTTATTACATTAATGTGCACCAATTCAGACAGTCAGCTAAAAAGAACAGACCTATTTATGTAAGATTTATATGTACACTCGTAGTCGGAAAGATCGCCTGGCTTTTCTTGTAAGTTTCGGAACTTATCCGTCTTGTCCATTAAGAGAACTCTTTTATTGGAAAATAAATTCTCCCATTGAACAAGACGGACAGGTTCCGAAACTTATAAAAAAGAAATACCAGATAACTTTTTCGACCACGAATATACAAGAAATATGATGCAGTACGATAAATGCGATAGTCTCTACGTTATCGACGTTTTTGAAATTTGTCATCTCCTTCAGTATCTTCTCCATGAAGTCGCGTGTACAATATAATCGCGTTACGCGATCAGCACGCCGACCTACCCTAACTCATGCGTGTCAGATGCTGTCGTCGACTTCGGTAGTGTCGACACGATCGAGAAACGCGGTCGGACAGAAACGCTGATAGTATTCCGCTTGTAGACATCGTACCGACGTGAAACCAAGACCGTGGTGAGACTGTCGCGCTTCTGGCAGACGTCTACTTATACTTTCTCAAATCGAAGAATAATATGAAAAATTAGATCACCACACAAGGAAATATCGTCTTTAATCGAAGTGAGGATTGATCTGTGGTGTAGAAACACTTGAACAAAGTCCAAAGTTTAAAGTGTGTGAACAATAGTGAAGCGTGGATTGATTGTTAGTCGATATAAGGTACTAATTTAGGGAAAGACAGGAAAAATGAGATTTTGAATGAATTTAAAATGTATCTGTAAATTAACTTAATTGACAATTTGCTGTTGATATTTTGAACTCTCTAAGATATTAGTCATTCCACAATACGATCATATTAAAGAATTCAGCTTACGAAGTAAAAAGCTAGATATTTCGGAGACCATTAATATGCGAACCTGTGTGTGTTTAAAACTCTTTTAAAGCTTTTGAATAGAGCTTTCCGTTTTTGTGAGTTTGCTTTATCCAGTTAAGTCTTCGTTTATAATAGTACGCCTCTCACATAATATCGTACAATAGTCTTAAATTTAAAGCTTATCTTTGGTCTGAAAGTGACTACGTATTTATATCTCATTATTCTACGCCTCGTTACTCGCTAATTAGAAGGTCCCGTTGTTAATGAATTTCGACAGCTGACATGAGAGTGAGCTAGTTGTAATAGTTCGATAAAACTTGATAATAGAGATAAATGCTCGCGCTCTGTGTGGTCACGAGAGATATTATAATATATCATACAAGACGATACTGTCATCTCGTGATTACAATTGATCCGTTCGGAACAATAACATATTAACTATAGCAAGTGAGGTACATGGTTTCTCCATAGTTTAGTATGTTATTGGGCCAAGCTCTTCGATTATAGCCGTGCGATCATGTCGAGGCAAGAACAAAGTGATAATAGTCGCTGGTAATTCGCGCTTTCGCACTTTGCGCGCAGAAATCTCACGATAATAATTACACACTTCATCGAAGGCCAATTGCTCCCGTGGAATTAGACATTTTCATCAGCTAAGATACGCACATATGACGATTCCGTTGCAATTTTCATTCAAGGATCGAATAAATCAGACACAGTGGTCTTGAATAAATTAAACAAACGTCCTCGTTAAGTCCTCTCGGGGGCTTCCCGAGGGGGGTATCCCCTCCTTCTCGTCTAACTTTCTTTCAGCAAGAACCCTTAGAAAGAGATATAACGCCGACTCGCTGAGGTCATCTCCTCCATTTCGCACGCGCTACACAAATACTTCTGCGACTATTAATCACCCTCTAGAAACCTTCTAGCACCGAACGTGCACACCACGTGTATCGTTCAACGTCGAAGGGACTAGCTCTATGAGTAATCTCGTTAAGTTAACTGCTTACAACTCGATAGATAAAAATATGTAGGCTCTCTGAAAATATCTGTGTGAGACATATCAGTTGCCGCGCGTACTAGCGCGCGCGCGTATACGTTTTCATATGCGTGTGTGTTTTTGTGTGTGTATGTGTGTGTGTGTGTATGCGCGTGCGTGTGAGTGTGTGTGCATGCGCTATGTAGTAAAACTATGAGTTATTCAAAATATGTCATTTTGTTATATCGTAAAACTGATATATACAGAATGCCTGGCAATTATTGGTACACCCGTTGAATGCAGGTAGAACTTATCAAACTAACCACAAAATTCTCTACCATTTCGCAAACGAGCACGCAAACTTTTAAATTATTAATTCAAGAAGATTGATGAATGGTCACACGCGACATGGTAGATGAATTGTGATGACGACGTCCGTCATCGCGAGGAGAGACTTGTAGGAGAGACCGGATCTAGAAGTCAACACGGGTCAGTTGTCACAAAGCTTATTATCTTACATGGAGGAATTCTTCTGTATAAGATTCTTCTCTATAAGTTATTTATATCATATCAACTGCGTGTACGAAATGGCTCATGACAGACACATCGTATATAGTACTTACGAATATTTTTTCAAAACTGAACGCGACGCGTAAATGTTTTCTTGTCCCTATTTTTATTAATCCGTTGGTTTGGGAAATTTCTGACCGCAATTTCTCTTTAATTAAAGAAATGTTTGACTAATTTGTCCTGCACTTAATTAACATTTAATGCAACATAATTTACAAATATAATCTCTTTTATTCCAAATGACCGTCCGATTAAGTTAACTCAAAGGGGATTACTTAAGGGAGATTAAGTTGTTGCACTGCGAGTCCGTCACGTAACTACGACGTGATTTATACAAGAGCATGGAGACACACGCAATGATGTATACATGCGACAATGAATCTGCGTAAGGTCTTGTATATAGCTCAAAATTATTATTACAAAGTTTATGAGAATTATTTTCTTCTATAATTGTATCTAGATTATATAAGATATTAAGAGAAAGATAAAAAATATAATTACTACTAAAATTAGTATTAAAATTGCTAAAAAAAGTTTTAAGTGATTGTTTATGAGATTATTGAGCAATTTTGTATTTAAAAAATACTTAAAAAAATACTTAAAACCTTAAAACAGAAATTATTTGTTTCCTTTACATGAAAGATTTGTGACAACCAATTCTGACTATAGAGTGGATAATCACATTTGCAGACTTTGTGCTTATAACTTAACAACTTTTTTATGTATAAATATATGTAATACTTGTATTTATATGAAGATATGGACAATATTGCATAAATAAAAAATATAAAATACATCTTTTTTTAATCAGTATGTAAAAGGTGTGATAGCCAGACCCGGTTTCCTTTACATTAAGTCAAACTAAACTTCTATTATTTGGAAAATGACCTATCTAACGTAGATCTTTAGTTATTAATTGAAGAATTTTAGTACACAATAATGTATCAATTTTTCTTAATCTATAAAAAATAACCTACATGGTTCTTTGCAGAATTTTAGAGGAATTTATTGTTCAATTTGACTTAATATACAAGCGGACCAATGGCGGCAAAAATCGCCATCACAGCTCATCCAACGCGTATGACCTTTCATCAATCTTCTTTAATTACTCAAAGTTTTAAGTAATTGTTTGTGAGATGATTGAGCAACTTTGTATTAGTTAGTTTCATGAGTTCTACCTGCACAACGGGCGTGTCAATAATCGTCAGACGCTCTGTATATACGTGGAGATATGACGGCGATGATATAATTACCTCTCTATTGCGTAACGATAGTTTTAGAATAGTAATATACTGGGGAAAGAAATACTCGAAAATTTATTTGTGAGATAAAAGTCTGTGTCACAGAAATAAACTCTACACACCACAAATGAACTTTCAAGCATTTCTCCCTCAGTGTGGTTCACCGAACGTTTTTGTACTTTACGATACTCTGCGTAACACTGCGAGGAGAGAACTGCGTGACGTTTCATTTGTTTCTCGCAAGACCGAAAGAAACGCGACCAAAGTCCAGTTGTGCACGACTATGCAGCTTTTTGCCGATCGCGCGACACGCGCAACGTTGAGTTTCGCGTTGCCATGCGGCTGCAATGAACGCGCGTAATTGAGGCGAATCGATCGAAGCACGCAATTAATCGAGGAATCAACCTAATCGAATGTTCGCCAAATTAACGAGCTTTGCAAACAACGCTCAATCGCGTGTGGAAAACCGAACGCGCGCGTCCTGGTTGACTCCGCACTAAGCGCGGAGGCCGACTATTTCCCGAAGAGAAGGTTTGCTTTTTCTCTGTCTTTCTTTTTTTACCTTTTAAATAATCCCTGAGCATGTGTCGTTCTTTCGTCATGCGTGGATGTCGTGTACTCGATTGCATTTTGACGAGTTCTGCAAGATTTCGAGAGCGATCTCGGAGCGTGCGGCCGCGCTCACACCGGTTTTGCACGCCGCTTTTGCGTGCAGACAATTCGCGAGAGCCCGTACATATACGTCTACGAGTCGGAGGAGGTGCTACACGGTGCTACACCTCGTCTCCGAAGAATAGACTAATTCCTACGGTTCGCTACGACGGCTTGCGTCTCGCAAGGAGGTAAAGGAGTAGTAGATTAAGAGAGGAAAAGAGAAAAAGGGGAGAGGATCTCTCCGCTTATAATTACGTCTACGAGAGTAGATGATAGAGAAAGAGAGCGAGGAGAGGAAAACGGGACGAAGAGAAGAGGTCAATTGGTCGATCGGCTCTTTAAAGCTTTCGGTTTCTCTCCCGTAGAACTGGTAACCGTTATACCGCGTTCTCGCTCGTAAGACCGCGATTATCGAGAGAAGACCGTAATTAAAACTCCCGGGCCGTCTGAGAACGCTTCAATAAATGGAGAAAGAAAACGACAGCCCAGTTTGCTCTCTAAATCTCTTGGAATGCAATTTCGCTGATAACGAGTAAAAAGCGATAGTGTCTTCACTCGAAGCAATAGCAAAGATATTGCCGTTCGAGATCGCAGGAATAAATGTTTTGCTCAAGCTTAGAGTGAATTCTAACTCCACATACACAAAGAAAATATTGTCCTACACTTCACTGGTAATGATTACAAAACTTTGTAATCTTGAACCGTATAAAAATTATGACCGAAATTATTATATGTTTCTTTAAAAATTCATTCTTGACTTTTTATTACAAAATTAATATTATTATATAAATGTTCTTTTATATTGTAAATTTCTTCATAAAAAATGTTCTTCATTTAGTAGCACCCTCTCGAGTGGTGTGGAATTCCATCATCAACCATTGTAATATTCTCAAAATTGCTTACTTCGCGAGTTTTTAAAAATAAATTTTGACTATTTTTCCACGAGTTTTTAAACGGATGAAAATGCTATAATTTTATATTTAGTGACTCAAAAAACGCAAGATTATATGTATTGCGTCACACCTTTAAGCTAAAATCGATCCATTTCACACTTGATTTTTATTACAAAACTAATATTATTTGAATGTTCTTTTATATTATTGTAAATTTTCTCACAAAATGTTGTTTAGCAGAACCCTCTAGAGTGGCGCGGAAGTCCACCATTAGCCATTGTAGCATTCTCAAAACTGCATAATGTATGCAGATGCACATCTGATGACTTCAAACTGTTTGAGTAAGAAAGCCCTTCTTGCTATTTCTATAATAATTCATATTGCGATTTTAGTTTTATTTATGGCCCAGTTTTACGAAAAATATTGGGGAAAAAATATAATTTCATCGTAATTTTTATTGCAATATTTTCTCCGTGTAGTAAAAAATTTACTATTTCCGTAGTAATTCACACACCACAAAATGTCAGCTTTACAAAAAGCACTGTAAAACGAAATACAATTTGAACGCAATATTTTCTCCGTGTATGAGCGAGTATTTCAATCCATTAGATTCAATCCACTTTTCAATTTCGAGTAAATATATTCACTCGATTCAGAGTGAGGAATTTACAATACATGAGCGGGAAATCATACGAATTCGAGCGACGCGGTTCTCACTTCGTTTTCCGAGCGAAATGTCACATTCCAAGATATTTGAAGGATACGATCGCGGAATTCGATCGTGATTTGCGCTCGGTTGCGTTCACCGTGGAAATCGGCGCACAGGTGCATTCGCGCCGCGTGTTTCCACCATTTTCCCCGTGGCCCTCGTCGTTCAGCTCAAAACTCCCGAATGCATCGTTAACGAACCGTCGAGTAACGAACAGCAAATTCGCCGCTGTTCCCCAGCGAATTGGTCGAAACGCCCGTCATGTATCATTCATGAGACAGCCGAGTTGTTCGAATCGACGCGCGGTAGTTCCTACATTTACCCCGTGGCTGAACGGGACGAAGGGAGCAAAAAAAGTGGGAGACGAGAAACGATATTCCCGTATCGACGGCACGCTAACAAATTCCGGCGGGAAAGACGGGCTCGCCGCTTTCATCGCGCGCGCTCGAAGAAGGATGCTTAATTTCACGCGCAGGAAACATATCGCGAAACGTCGCGAGCCCCAAACGGCGTTTATCGCGTCGACAGGAAATAAGGGAAAGCAGAAACCGTTTCGGGGACGTCCCTAAGATCCCAGAGAGACGATACTTATCACATACCGCTTTGGCTCGCGCGATAAGAGGAGTGCGCAGGATCGCTTAAGGGCGATCAGCCGGATGGTACGTTCCGAAAAGCCGCGAGGATATATAGGCGATAGAGCACCGGAGACAAGGATTCTGTTGAAACCAAGCAGTAAACCGCGCGGCGATGCTCCTCAGTCGCGGATTTTACTTGTGAATCCTGGAGCGAGGCGTCGAAATGTCACGGTATCAGAGAGGACCGAGTCTGGTTGGCCCGAAGGATATGCCGGCCATGTGCTTTGCTCGTGTATCTATCATGCGAGGAACGGTGGAAATCGCAGAATGTTTCATTTAGAACATTCCTTTTAGACCATAGCTACATTTTCCCCTGAGAATTTCATTAAAATTAGAATAGTATTACAACTTAAGAGGAGGAAAAACTGATTTAACAGACAAGTACACTGAGAGAAAAGACTGGTAACTATAACAAACTGCATTTAGTTACAGAAATTCATTTAATCCTTAGTAACTAATACTAAATATGATAATAATTACCAAATATTTAATAGATCGGGAGTATGATGTAATTGCATTCACAGTAACATCAATTAAATAATTTAGTAATAATTACTTAATGTTGAATATTTAATATGAAATATATTACAGTTATGAACAGATATTTGATAATTGTTATGAAATCGTTATATCCCATATAATAAAAAATTCAGTAGGTACGAGTTCTATTTTGTTACCAATATAAGTATGTTTTGTTGCAGCACAACGAAAAATTTATTCATTTGCAGCTATTACATCATTTCAACATCTATTATTACAAATAGTTGGTTGAATCTATCAAAAATTTTGTAACTATTACAAAATCGTTTATCTTGCTCAACTATTCAATAAGTTTTATTTACCAAATATATTCTGAAAGCAAATAGATTTTACTTCTGTCAAATAAATAATTTATTTTACAGAACTAAATTAATTAATAAGTATTGCCATAGCTTTGGCCCGCTATATTTACGTCTATTATTTAGTAATAGTAACCAAATTTTGATAATATTTACTAAATTCTTCTCTCAGTGTACATTTTTGAATACCTCGAAATTTCGGATTGATATTCTGCATCGTGAGTTGATTGAATGTGACGTGTTATTAGTCAGAATAAAGAGTTTCCTGCAAGTGTGTAACTCACTGCTTCGGGTAATAAGAGTAATTTTCATTTATACTGTGAAATCGAGCATATGGACGGACGAGGTAAAGACGGCCACCACATTTAAGGGCAGGCAGGACTAAAGATCTTTCGCGAAAACTACTAATCGGTATACATATTTTGTATGTAGCCTTCTTACCCTGAGTTGCCAGCCAACTCGACTCGGTACCAGAGCTACGTTGCAGCGTGTTCGTATTTCGGTTATTGCAGAAGAAAATATACGCACGGAAAGAAAAAAATTGCATCAACGATATCTTTGGTGAAATATGAACGAACCAGAAATTTCGGCTAAAATTATCAGAATCCTGTTCAAATTAACAAGATTTTTTCAAGAAAATAGCGATTATGTAAAGAAGGACACCAACAAACCTCCATAGGCGTTTCGCCTAGATTTTTCGGAATGCTCATTTGGACTTGATTTTTGAATGTTCGTGCAGGTCTTGATGAGCAATTTAGATATCTGTCACTTTTATTCTGCAAAAATGAACCGTTCCAGGAATAACAAGTACTGAAAGTATCAAAATCAGACAAATAACCTGATTTGGATACTTTCAGTACTTGTTATTCCTAAAACGGTTCATTTTTGCAGAATAAAAGTGTCAGATATCTAAATTGCTCATCAAGACCTGCACGAACATTAAAAAATCAAATCTAAACGAGCATTCCGAAAGATCTAGGCGAAACTTGGTGTCCTTTTTTGTTCTAAAAACAAAAACGTGAAAAGTAAATATTTTCACGTAAACTTGACGACTTCAAAGATCATGTAACTTCTCGAACTGGATGGAAATGTGAATATTTTCACGAGTTTATGCTAGGATAAAAGATACATGATCGATAACTTTAACCAGAATTTCTACCAGACATTTGATTGATCCAATCAAACGTTTCTTCCGTTTTCGGTATATGGATTCATTGCGGGCTTACAAACATAAAGGAAAGTTGTCTCTATCACGTTTGTACAGTTACTCATAACTCAACTTAAGCTTAATCTATAATGAGTGCTTTCTATTTCTCGTTCTCTGTTTTCTTCTGGTTTAAAGTTAATAACTTTAGTCAGAAAAAGATAAAGAAAAAGAGACAAACAGGAAGCAAAGGACACATTGTAGATCAAGCTTTAGTTGTTTGAGAAGTTTTAACTTCGAAATTCTGAAAGATGTGCCATCTGGCCCCGGACTCCCCTACCTTACGACACGTGACGATTCCGTTGACGACGATCGCGCGATTACACGCAGGTCGCCTTGTACCCGTGCACAACGTCGGGCGTCTTGCTGCAGGACGGACGATCGAAGTGATAGGCGGACGAGCCGTTGTTCTTGTCGCGGGTGAGTTTGGCTTCGCTGTCTCGCCGGTCCGCGACGTTGCTGACGCTACCGCGGAAGTCTCTGGACGAGGACTTGCCCAAGGTCTCGATCTTGTCGACGTTGCTGACGCTCAGCCGTTTGTCGCGCTGCAGGAACCCCCTGCTGCCAGTCTCCTCGTGGTCCTTTCGCTCCAGGAAGTTGCACACGCTGACGCGCCTCTCGCGCAGCAGCGACTTCCCGGACGGCAGTAGCGTGGGCCTCGCCAGTACATCCATCCGGTCGAAGTGGCAGATGCTGTTGCCGCGGTCGCGCTGCTGCAACGGCACGGGTCTCGCCAAGACGTCCGTGCGGTCAAAGTGGCAGATGCTCATGCCGCGGTCGCGCTGCAACAACGGTCGCGCCAACACGTCCGTCCGGTCAAAGTGGCAGATGCTCATGCCACGCTCGCGTTGCTGCAGCAACGTCGGCCGCGCCAACACATCCATCCGGTCAAAATGGCAGATGCTCATGCCGCGTTCGCGCTGCAACGTGGGTCTCGCCAACACGTCCATGCGGTCGAACTGGTAGGCGCTGGAGCGGCGATCGCGTTGCTGCAGCAGAGGTGGCGGCCGCGCCACTTGCTGCTGCAGCGACGCGTCGATTGATCGCAGGGTCCTCAGCGTATCGCCGTCGCGCTCATCGTCATCGTCGTCGTCGTCGTCGTCGTCGTTGTTGCTGCTGTTATTGCGGGAAGACGCGACGACGCCCTCCGCCAACACCAGCGACTGCAGGTCGAACGCGCTCTTGGCGCGTCGCGGCGTCTCCCGGCCGATCGGCAGCAACGACGCGCTCGAACCCACAAACACGCTGTTCTGCCGCAGCCGGGCGGTCGGGCCGCCGGACGCCACCCAGCCGTAGTTCGCCTGGTGCATCGGCTGCTCCAGGCAGTGGATGTTGAATTTCGAGTAACTGTGGTGCTGCGAACAAGAGATCCGTTCTGACGACAAATCCTGCCGGTCGGCTCGTACGATCTGTGTCAAACGTCGTTCACAACGTATTATGTTACTGCGTTCAGAATCTGAAAGTCGCTCGAGGTTCGAGGGTGCGGAATTGTTGGCCTTGCGACCGCGTGGCCATTGTGCGTTAGTGCTGGGTGTGTCGGATCGAAGCGCCGTGATCCACTGAAATGTTGCAACTAGAGATGTATAAATAGAAAAGCTCCTTTTTAGAATAACTAATAGTAAGATTTGAAGAGGCAAATAAGGAGCAAGCACGGATGTCTTAGTGCTATTAAATACTAATATTACTTTTATATAATATTAATATGATAGTGGGAGGTTAATTATGTCCAGCATGTCAAACGCACGTATCGAAATTTTTCTTCGATTAACGTACACGGCGAATCTACCTTTCATACTTAGACCGATCCTTGAGTCCCAATTTTATATATATATATTTAAAATTCCCAAAATCCATTAAACCGATGACTCAAATAGATTCATTATATATGTTGCGAAAAAACTCCGCCAGGACTCGAACCTAGAACCTTCCCACTTTGATACGTGTGTTTGACATGCTGGACATAATTATCCTCCCACTATCATATTAATATTATATAAAAGTAATATTAGTATTTAATAGCACTAAGACATCCGTGCTTGCTCCTTATTTGCCTCTTCAAATCTTACTGTTAGCTAGAGATATATAATTACCGTCAGAAAATGACGGTAAAATTATGGTGAGATGGTAATTTTGGTTTCAAAATTTTGGTGTCAAATTCGTTGTTCTGAGTTTCATGTATAGATATTCGTGTTTTCCGTACTAATACATAAAATAAAACAACATTCTTCTTATATTCTTATCAAGTGTATATCTAATAAGCTCTGAAATGTCTTTCAGATGAAAAAAGGAAACTATTTATATGTATATATATATATAATTTTTTAAAAGTATTAAAGTTTTTATTTCTTTTAAAAATTTTCAATTATATACTACTGTCTAATCGCTCAAACAGCAAGATATTAAATGAAAATAATGTAAGCCTGCAAAATGGCACAAAAAATAGATTAAGTCTTAAAAATGTTTCTTAAGTTTCTTCCTAGTTTCTATGTGTCTAGTTTTCAAATTACTATATGCTATATATAGTATATCAATATACGATATTAAAATATTTTATGGAAAAAAACATATTAAATAAAATATCTTATTCATCTTAAAGACTAAATGTTTCTTTTGAGCTTTATATTATTTACTGTTGTAATTTTTTTTTAAATTACCATTTTACCAGCTTTCCAAAATTATCAAGTAAGTTACCGTCAAACTGCATCATTTTCATCTCTAGTTGCAACGCCATGTGAAACTACTGTGAACGCTACCAGAGCCTAATGTCATTCGATATATCTTGCATTGAATTTTTAAAAAATAGTATTGGCATCCAAATACTATAATTTTCTTACAGCAAGAAATCAACGCTCATATCGAAAATCGAATTCAGAAAGACTCTGTTTCATTTTCTATGTATATGCGTGTGTGTACGTAGTATTTTTTATATTTATAGATAATATTTGTAACTTAATACGCCCAATATTCTCTTTTCAACTTTTATCTTATTACTTCCCAGATAGGCAGAGTAATGTAAATTTGGCATCTCTATTGCTTGACTAAAGGTTGCATCCCTTATAAGAGATTCATATAGGATTCATATTTATCATATTTATCAAAATTATCAAATTTCTTCAAAACAATTTATCATGTAAAATATAATATGAAAATCTGAGTATAATTTTTAGTAAATTTATTGCTGCATCAATATGATAAAACATTTACAATACTATAATAATTGCTATTACTGTATGATGTAAAAGTAATAATTAATTCAATATAGTATATTTGCCTCATACATTATCTCAAATATAATTTAAAAAATTGTAAAGTTTCCACCACATAGCAATTATCTCACATCATGATGATCATGAAAATCTATCTGGATTATTATTTCCCCATATAGACGGTAGTACGTAAATTTAGCAGCAACTATATTGCTTAACTTGTAAGGATTGTATCTCTTATGAGTGACTATCATATTTATCACATAGAATGATCTAAGATGACTAGAGATACAAAAGAAATTATTAATATTTACTCAAAACAATGTAATTTTATAAAATGCAGTATGAAAATCTGAGCTCGATTTTTAGTAAATTTGTTGTTGCATAAATATAAGAAAAAATTTATCATTGTACAATGTAAACTTGATGATTAATACAATACAGTATATTTACTGTCATAAATGTAATTCAAAGAATTATAGAATCTCTTCATCATCGATTGTTTCACGTTGTAAAAATTACGAAAGTCTACAAATTTTTACTACAATTTTTACTACAAAAGAATAGCTCAGAATGTTATCATAAATTATTTATATTAAATATTTTAGACTTGCATGTATGTTAATGACTAATGATCGGCATACTCTAAATTAATAAATCAACTTCTGATTACATTCTCGATGATTCATATTGCAATTAAACGTCTGGATACCGCGCGAATGCTTCCCTTGCAACAACTGTATCACTCAGCGAGCTACAATAGTCGCAACCTTCCTCAGTAAATAAAATACTAGGAGCTGCGATCTTGCGACATACATCTCCTTCTCTCTTCCTCTCTAAATATGTTCATAGCCAATAAATCACGACTACGTCGACCATGGTGGTATTCCCATGGAGACAGTTAGAGGCCTCGAGGCTGTGTAACGGGGTGTGTTGTCTCGGCGGAAATGTGTCGGGCGAACGTGACCCGGTTGTAAACGAGCGAGGGAACATGTCGGGCGCGTTGACACGTCTTTCTGAAAGCCCACGGGGCCATTTAATGACCATGACGGTATTGTCGCGACAATGAACAATATTTGTTTTATAATGCGCGGTTAAATGGGATAACAATAGCGCTCCTTCCTTGTTAGAACGAAGGTTTCGCGCGGGACACCGACGCGATCGATGCTCCCGCGTACGGGACCGAGATGGGGTGCAGCGTTATACCATTGAATTTGATTGTATTAGGCGGGAGAGATTGCCTTACAAGCTTCACCCGAGGGACGCAAATGGAACGTTTTAAGGTTTATGACCCAATGTCTCTCAATGTCGAATCGCACCGACTATCGAAGAGAATGCAAGCGGAGACTTTCATATGCAACGCACACACCCATTCTAAGTATGTTATTCCTGAGTGAGTTGGTAGCACCGCGCGTTCTATAAGAAGTGACGGCCGCTGCATCTTCCGAGATTACGGTACAACCAAGCAGAACTCCCGGTTTCGTTGAAAGGGCAAAGATGATGCTGCATTTACATGCATTATGCAAACGCGGGCGGAGAGACGCGTACTCCCGGATCCTCCACTCAATCTAAGGTTTCTCTCTTCCTCTTTCTCCGCCCTTCTCTCTCTCACATACACACACGCTTGCGCAAGCTCGTACCGTGAGGGTAATATAAGCGCCGAGCATGTATATGGGAGCAACGAAGCAAATCGCGTCGATTGAAACGATCGAAAGTAAATGTAAACGCACGCGAGCAAAGTTCATCCCTGTATAAGCTTCGCCTCCGTGCTTTCGCGATCGATCAGGAAGCTGCGATCTTTTTTCGATCCATGGACGGAACGATCTGAGGAGGAAGCGTAACTAATTACTCAACTCTCTGCCCGCGTTATACGACTGGATACTCGCGGCGAATTCCCACGATCCTAATTATTGGAGAAAGTTCGACGAATGTACCGGGATGTCCAAACGCGGCAAAGGCAACACACATACCGAAATCCGTTTAAATATCACCGCCAATTTATCTGCCACGGACAGGCGGTTCATCGTCATCAGGTGAGAGCATGATTTCCAATCTGTCTCGCTGTTTGTAGCGGACATGTGAGTAATGTAGAAACGGCGATAAGTTATGTCGAAGTATCGCCGCGTCTTCGAAGCATAAGACGACGTTATGGGTTACGGGTGTACAAGAATGCTCGCCGTCGTTGTACACAATTATTATTATCATTATTATTTCATTTGTGTTCACGGGAATATATTTTCTTTAGTACAACAAATTAAAAAGAAGTAGGACACGGAAAGCACCGATTAGTGCAAACCAGGTACCTTCTCTACAGCACTTCCGTAGTATCACGCGATCATTCGCCAATCGTCTTTAATTAATAACTAAAAATCTGACGCGGTTTACAAAGTAATAGAGGAATTTTTTGTTCAGTTTGATCTAATCTATGGGTATACGAAATGAGTAGATATCAGATATGCTTTGTGTATATATATATATATATATATATATATATATATATATATATATATATATA